TAAAGCACGCGTCTACGGAAGTTCGGACTCATCGTTGGTGTTTCGCAAGTCCTTTGGGGAAGTAGCGCGACTGATCGGAGGTTGCGAGGCAGGGACAGATGGACGGCGGAGGCGGCGGTGTCGATCAGAGCGGTCGCTCCATGGGTCGCACAGTCACCCCGCGACGAGCCCTCGCTCGCACACAGTCGCCCAAGCCCAGCCGGACGACTGGCGGCCCGGGCGTCGACATGGAGCCGCTCGTGCTGGCCCTGGGCGACTCGGACGTGGAGCGTGCGCGAGAGGCGGCGTCCGCGATCCGGTCGTCGCTGAAGAACAACCCCGACAACAAGGCGCGCCTGCTGGCGGCGGGCGGCGTCGACGCGCTGATCCGGCTGCTGAAATCGCGCGACACGTCGTGCGTGGACCACGCGGTGACGGCGCTGCTGAACCTGTCGCTGACGGACGGCGTGGAGCCGCTAGTGACGGCGGCGGGCGGCATCGAGGGCATCGTGGGCGTGCTCAAATCCGGCAGCAACGTCGCGCGGGAAAACGCCGCCGCGGCGCTGTTCACGCTGTCGGGCCCGGCGGACAACAAGCTCCGCGTGAAGGACGCGGGCGCCGTCCCGGGGCTCGTGAGCCTGCTGCGCACGGGCAGCCTGCGCGGAAAGAAGGACGCGGCGCTGGCGCTGTTCAACCTGTCGCTGGAGGACTCGTGCATCGGGGAGATCATCGACGCGGGCACCGTGCGCGTGCTCATGGGGCTGCTGCGCGGCGACGCGGACGCGGGCATGGAGGACAAGGTGATGGCGGTCGTCGCGAATCTCTGCAAGTTCTCCGAGGGCCGCCACGCCGTGCACAAGGAGGGGGGGATTCAGGCGCTGCTGGGCGTGATCGAGAGCGGGTCGGCGCGCGCCAAGGAGGACGCGGCGGTGTCGCTGCACCTGCTGGCCGTGCACAACGCCGCGTCGTTCCAGGCCATCGCCGACGAGGACTGCTCGCCCGCGCTCTCCAAGCTCGCGCAGTCCGGCACCACGCGCGCCAAGTCCAAGGTGATGTCTTGTCTCGTCTCGTCACGTCGCCGTGCTTACATTGAATGCACGTGCCCTGCCAAGGCGTAGTGATTTGTGCAGCAAGTGACCTATCTCAAGGCGACGTGTTCTTGCGCTCACTAGGTGGGCCGCCATCCCAGTCGTTAGCCACCTTTGACCACCATGTGAGGTGCATCCGTAGGCTTTGTCGTGAATCTTCCTTCATTTCTTCCAACCTCCATTACGTAGCAAGACAATCAGAGTGTAGCACTCCGCTTCGAACCTGTTACGGCAAACAGGGGCCTACCCAGAGTGTCGCAGAGTCCGCCTCCGCTGTCGCCGCGTGAAATCCCGCGGGCGTTACTCACTGAGTTTTTGGACCGCTCGATCGCGCCGGCGCTAATGCGCGCGAAGCAAGGCGACAGCGGGACGCACTAACCGAGTTTAGGCGGCTTGCACCGCGCGCGTGATGACCGCGGGTAAACGTCGATGGTGGTTCCTATCGGTAAAGCCGGCTTTTTTTTTTTTAAATTCCACGGGTTTGTGTGCGAAGAAAAACGTCAGAATGTGAAAGTTTATTGAGTGAAAAGCAGCCTCTGGTGAATGGGCGCACGGGAAGTGTGGTGCTCGTGGGACCGCGTGAGGCGGTTTGCGGAGAGCGATTCAAATAGGTGGCGGGGTGGTTGCCGGCAAGAGCGAGACGAGAGACAGCGAGTTTTGGTCGACTCGCGTGGGGCAGGGCAGGGTGGCACGAGGGCTGTGCGCTGCTGCGAGGGGCTGTTGGCCTGCGCGCGCAATGACCCGCGACTGAACGGGCTCCTGTTCACTTGAGGGGAGGAGGGCTATAGTGCGGTGTAGAGACGAGAGACGAGAAAGGAGAGATGTTTCGTGAGCGCGTAGGGCAAGAGGCTGGGCCCGTGCGGTGCCAATATGGTGTTAGGGGGCTGTGCGTGAGGGAGAAAGAGGTGAAAATTGAGTTGCTGGGAAACCGAGTACCTGGAAAGGAACGAATGCTTGACTCGGTTTACTCGAATAACGCATCCGTGCCACATCCTTCATTCCCAACATGCTCTCTCATTTCATCTTCGAGGACATCGACTGTCCACTTATAAGAGACTTAGGGTAACATGCAATGGCAGTACGCCGTTGGTGGTTGCCCTATACACATTGCAGATGCAGTTGTCAGATGGTTGGGATGAGAGGCCGTGAAGAAGGTGCAGGCAGTACAGCCCACGGATCAGCTCACTCTCGCATTGCTTGCTCCGCCACTTGTGCATTGCTCTTCGCACAGGGCTACGGCCCTCCTCACCGCACTCCACCCCTCACTTCACTCCACACCTGACCTCACTCACTCCACGTGTGTGCATGTGCACCGCACTCCCACTGCCATCACTGTCGTTTCATTCCTCTTGCCCCCCTCTTTTTCTGCTCTCATCCATTTCCCCACCCCTCCTCTCACATATCCCCTTGACCCACCTTCTCTGCCTACTTCCCATGACCTTCCGTGTTCTCCACTTGCCCCCCTGCTTCCCTACTCTCCATGACTGGTGTGCCCCCTCAATCACCCCGACCCCACCCTTGTCTCTGCCCCCTAGTCGCCTCCGTGTGCAACTCAACCCCTTGACCACCTCATGAAGCCGCCCGTGTGCCTGCTGTTCATGTAAACCTTGTGCGCGCATAACCTGGTGTCATGCTGTACGTGCATCCCACCCCCCGTGCGTGGCACCAGGCGAAGGCGCTCATGGACCTGGTGCGGTCGGGGTCGGGGTCGGGCTTCAAGTACGGCGGGTCCTTCTCCCAGCCCTTCGACAAGTCGCCTCCCGCTGTCACCGGCGAGCTCTCCCACCGCCGGTAGCTCTGCCACGGGGAGTGCTGACGTGGCAGGGGGGCCAAGATGTGGGGGAGGAGTGTGGGTACCTGCACTGCATATACATAGGACAGGCTGAGCGAGGGGGATGGAAGGGTAGGAAGGGTGGGGATGTTGGAAGGAGAGGGTGTGGGAGGTGGAAGGATGGTTCATAAGATGTGTGCTCCTCAGGGCGCTGATTCACATGTATGCTGGTGGGGAAGTTTTCTATCGCGCGGGAGTCTCAGATGTAGCTGCTGCTGGGTTGGCCGCGGAGGACAGGCAATAAGGAGTGGCTGATTGTAAGGGAGGCTCGAGTCTGCTAGAGCTGTCAGCGGCAAGGGTTTGGTATGCGTGGCCACTGGTGGCTGCTATGAGGCTCGTGGTGTGCACATGTGGGTGCTTTCACAGGGCTGCAGTCCACCTGTGCCTCCTGCTGTCTTGTCGAAGAACCAGTAGGGCAGTTGAGGGCCACGTGCAGTCATGCATTGGTGGCTGCGAGTCTCTGCTGCCCGCTTTGAGGTAGCTCGCCTTGAGTTGGCAGACAGCTGTGTGTGGAGGTGTGGTGGGTGGGGAGGAGGAGGGGCGGAGGAGGACAAGAAAGTGGAGGAGGGGAAGGAGGATGGGGAGGATGAGGAGGTGATTGTTTTTCAAGTGGAGGCACACTGCCGGGTTTTGATGATTCAACTGTTGCATTGCATGGTTCCTCACCATGCCCACTGTCATTGCTCTTCTCGACCTCTTGCCCTCTCTCCCACCCTCACGACAACCTGTTACCCTTTCCCCTTTCTCCCTCATCTCATCTCTCCTCCCCCCAACCCCCTCTCCCTGTTCTCCCTTGTCCTCTCTCCGAACCCCTCTTCTCTCCTCACACATGTCCATTCCTGCATGAGATCCCTTTCCCCCCTTCCCCCTCCCCCAACTCAACCATCTTTCTTCCACCTCACACTTAGGTATAGTGTGCTATGCCTGTAGCCATACCCTAGACCAGACTTTCAACTAATGGCATGAAGAAATCAGCCTGCCTGACTTCTAGCTAATCCATTTTCATGCCCGTTGGGCACTTGATTCTTTTCAGCAGTAACAATACAGCGAAATTGACTGCATTGATTAATGCCAGGCTAGTGTTTTCCAGTTCTCGTAGTAAAGATTGTCTAACTGCTGAACTCAGTTTGTCAGAGAACCTTTCCATTTGTTCAATTAGGTGTAGTATATATCTGCTGCACTACAGAAAGGGAAGTGGAAAGTGAACTAGAATTTGAACAAGGTGAAGGTCGTGCTTGATATTCTGGACATTTGTTGGGAATAACCGAAAGGTATTTATGCATGAGTTAGGCAGCACCTGGGGACAACATCGGGGAAAAACTAACTGCAAAATGCTCCCCACATGTATTGCCTCCTTGTTGTGTACTGTAGCAAGTGTACTGCTAGGTGGAGTGAACGAGAACACTCTCGGCTGTCGCGAAAATTCTGACTTGTTGTGACGCTCCAAGTTACAACTAGAAACGGTGTGGATTTCTTTGGTGTGACGTGGCAATCTGATCCCTCGCTAGCATACATGAATTTCCGTAGGGGTTGTTTCCCGGACGGGCAGGGATCCATATTGAGTGGCGAGTTCGCCATGCAACATATGTGTTGCGTGTTTCGGATGTTTGTTAAAGCCCAGCCCCCGAATGACAAAGAAGCCTTCACAAACTGGGGCCAGTTTGTGAAGCACTCCTGCTGGTTTCGGGATAGCAGGGTTTAGGGGAGGTTTCCGAACCTATTTTCGCTGCTTTCCCAAACCTATTTTCCAGCGTTGACTTCCGTTGAGCAATTCGGGTTCTGCCCTTTAAATGAGGTACAGAAGCCCCTTTTCAGACCTCGACGCCAATCTGGCTAAGGGCTGGTTGGAATTCGAGCACAGTCCACCCAGATTTTTTTTTAATTTGACGTTCTGGCCTCTGCATCAAGGCTCGAGACTCGAGACTGGACTGGACGCCACACATTCATCCACGCGACTGGAATCACCAACGGGAATGGGAGTGAGGGCGGATGCATTTGTTGGGTGGTGTCAGTGGGATAAAGTGGCCCAGCCCACGGGCCACTGCTCAATTCAACCCACTCACTCATCACTCCCCCCTCCTTCACCCACTATGGCTCCAGCGATGTCTGCGACTCTCGCCGCCACCAGGTGCTGCCGCCACTCAATTCGCCCCCCAGCATCTTGCTGCGCTCGCGCCACCTGTGCAACCATGCTCGCCGTTGCTCACGGTCGCGGCGCCATGCACGTGGCAGCGCGCGCGCAGCTATCGGGGATGCGCGGTCCTGCTTGTTTTGAAAAATCTCACAACGCAAACTGCTCCTCGCCTCCATAGCTCTCATCGCTCTCCCACCTTCCCTCCTCTCTGCTCCTGTCCCTTGTCCCCCCGCAACCCCCATTTTCTCCAGCTGCGCGTCTGTCGCGCACGTTTCGCAAGTCCCCTCTGCGCGCGCCTCGCGCACCGTGTCGCTGGGGTCCTTCTCGGGGCTCAAGCGCGTGTCGCCCGCCGCTCACTCCCCGCTTCAAGCACTGCGCGCCAAGGTGCCATCTTTGCCCCTCCTTCGCCTCCCGCTCGCGCATTTCCCCTGTAGATTTGTCATTTCCGCCCCAATTCTGCAGTTTCCAACTTGTCATCCCACCCCTCCCTTTCTCTGCATCCTTCGTCTCTCCCGTGCCTCCCCGCGCCCTCCTTTTCTCCCCCAGCACCATGCGCCGGCGGCGGCGGCTCCGCGCAAGACCATCCGCGCGTCCACCGGGGCAGCGGCGGCTGGCACCGGCGGGGCGGGCGCAGTGACGGCGCGCAAGGTGCTGATGATGGGCGGCACTCGGTTCATCGGCGTGTACCTCGCGCGCATGCTCGTCAAGGCCGGCCACGAGGTGCGCGCGCCGCCACCCGGAAAAGGGGGAGGGGGAGAAGGGGTTGACGGGGTGGGGCAGAGGGGGCCGCGGGGGCGGGTCGGTGGGTGGGTAAGGTGGGGAGAGAGGAAGGGTAGGAATTAGGGACTTTGAAGGTGGTGGGGGAGGGGGATTGCGGACCAAAGGATGACGAGAGGGGGCGAGAGAGGAAGGGAGGGAAGACAGCTGTTGTAAGCCGCATGCGATCGCGCGCGTTACCTCCCCTCGCGTGCACCCCCCGCCCCCCGCGCCCGCTGGCCCGCAGGTGACGCTGTTCACGCGCGGCAAGTCGCCGGTGACGCAGCAGCTGCCCGGCGAGAGCGACGCGGACTACAGCGAGTACTGCGCGCGCGTGCGCCACCTGGCGGGCGACCGCCGCGACCTCGACGCGCTCAGGGCTGCGCTGCAGGGCGCGGACTTCGACGCCGTGTACGACATCAACGGTGCGCGCAGGAGGGGGGGGTTGGGGACGGAAGTGGGGGCGGGGCGGGGCGCGGTGGGGCGGGGTGGGGCGGGGCGGGGCTGGGCGGGGTGGGGCGGGACGGAGGTGGGGCGGAGCGGGGTGGGAAGTGAAGGGAAGATAGAGGACCAAGGCAAGGCACGTTGGAATGGTAGTGGGATGGGGCCGAGGATTTGGAAAACGGTGGGAAAAGAAATAGATAGCTTCACGATCAGATATGTATCCGCTTCCGTTCCGTTCCCCCACGTTGCTCCTTCGTTCCCTCACTCCCCTGCCCTCCCCGCCCTCCTCTGCCCTGCGTCCCGCGCTCCTACGCGCCACCCCACGCGGCAGGGCGCGAGGCGTTCGAGGTGGAGCCCATCCTGGCCGCGCTGCCCAACCTCAAACAGTACCCCCGCACGCCCTCTGCCCGCACGCCCTCTGCCCGCACGCCCTCTGCCCACGCTGCCACTCTTGGCCTTGGCACCCCACCTTTCCCCCCCGTCACTGTTGTCTCTGCCGCTATCCCACCTCCCCCTTCCCCCCCCATTTACTGGTTCCCGCTTCACTTGCACCGCGTTTCCTCATGCCCTTGCTCTCCCCGCACACCACCCCGCTTCTCTGCCCGGCTCCCACTCACTGCCTGCCGCTTTCCTCTACTGTTTCCGCAATTGTCTGATTGCCTCCCTCTCCCCTCCGTCCATTGTCCCTCTCCTCCCCCGCGGACTGCCCCCCCCCTCGTGTCCCCACCTCGCTGTCCCGCTCGTCTCCCTGTGTCCACCCCGTCCCCCCGCTACCCGCGTGTGCGCGCCCATGGGTGGCACCAGGTACATATTCTGTTCGTCCGCGGGCGTCTATCTCAAGTCCGACGAGCTGCCACACCGCGAGGTCAGCACCGCTGCACGCCCTCCCTCACCTCCTCACCTCCCTGCCCCCATGCGGTGCACATCGTCCTTTCGCCCCGCTGCATCTCCCTGCCTCCACACGCTCTCACCCACTCCCACCTGCCTCTTCTCCCTCCCTCGCCCCCTCTCCTTGCTCCGCACTCACCTGCCCTCCCTGTTATCCCCCTCACTTACAACCCTCTCCCATACCCCTCTCCCCATGCCAACCAACATCTTTCCCCTGCTTTTCACCCTCTCCCCGCCCCTGCTCCCCATTCCCCCGCATTGTTCCATCTACCCCTTCCCCCTCTGCTTGGCGCAGGAGGGCGCGGTGGAGAGGCACTGCGGCAGGCTGGAGAGGCGGGCAGTGGTGCACTGTAGGCACGTCCATCACTTCCCACGCAACTCAAAAGCCGTTCCCTTCCCCCGCCCTGCTTCCCTTTCCCCCCTTCCTCTTCCCCTTCCTCTTCCCCTTCCTCTTCCCCTTCCCCTTCCTCTTCCCCTTCTCCTTCCCCTTCCCCCTCCCCTCCCCTCCCCCTTCCGCCCCACCCTCCCTGCGTGCCTCTCGCACAGGAGGACGCGGTGGACCCCAAGTCACGGCACAAGGGCAAGCTGGAGAGCGAGGCGGTGCTGGCGGGCAGCGGCGTGGCGTGGACGTCCATCCGCCCCGTGTACATCTACGGCCCGCTCAACTACAACCCCGTCGAAGAGTGGTTCTTCCACCGCCTCCACGCCGGTCGCCCCATTCCCGTGCCCGGATCCGGCATGCAGATCACGCAGCTCGGCCACGTCAAGGTGGGGGAGGGGGGAGGCGGGAGGGAGGGGGGGGATGGGGAGTGGGATGAGGGAGGAGTGGGAGTGATCTAGGGGGGCAGGGCAGGAAAGGATGGGTGGGGGACTTGGGGGGCAGAAGGGGGTTTGGATGGGTGTGAGTGGGCCGTGCGGTGCACGGATGCAGGTCAGCACATGTGATGTGGCCTTGTGCCCATCCCTCTTTACCTGCACCCACTCCCACACTTCCTTGCAACCCTGGTGAGCAAGGGCATGCAACCACTGCTCCATAACAGCTCCGACCTCACGCACACCCCCTCTCTGCCGTCTCTTGTCTGCCTCGCCAGCTATCTCCCCACCTGCACGGCCTGCCACCTCACACATGGACCACATGCCATGCCACCACACACTCTCCCTCTCTCCCCCACTCAACAACTCCACATTACTCGCTCCCCAAACTGCCCTCCTCCATCTGCCCCTCCCCCGCCCTCTTCTCCCCCCTCCCCTCAACCCCCTCCGCTCGCAGGACCTAGCGCGGGCGTTTCACCTGGCGTTGGGGAACGAGGCGGCGTACGGGCAGGTGCTGAACGTGAGTGGGGCGCGCTACGTGACGTTTGACCGCATCGCCACGGCGTGTGCGGAGGCCATGGGCGCACCCAAGCCGCTGCTCGTGCACTACAACCCCAAAGACTTCGACTTCGGCAAGAGCAAGGCCTTCCCCCTCCGCAACCAGGTGCCTGCCCGCCTGGGCCCCCTGCCGCCCTGCACCTCTCTGCACCAACCCCCACTCCCCCATCCCATCCCACCCCATCCCGCCCCACCCCGCCCCACGTCATGTGTCAAGCATCATGCCCTCTGCTGCTTTGCTTTCCTTCTGTGCTCCCTCTCTGCTCATCCTCCTGTCTACTCACCCATCCATCCTCCCCTTGCTTCCCTCTTCTGTTTCCTGTCCTCACACTCCCCTTTCCCCCTTCCGTCTCCCCACGTGCAGCACTTTTTCACGGCGATAGAGAAGGCGGAGCAGGTGCTGGGGTGGAAGCCCGAGTATGGGCTCGTGGACGGGCTCCGTGACTCCTACCACCTCGACTTCTCCCGCGGCGTGCACCGCGCTGCACCCAACTTCACCACTGACGACATGATCCTGGAGAAGCTGGGAGTGTCCGTCACTGCCACCGCATGAAGAGTGGGGGTTTGAGAGGTGGGCACTGGGCAGGGAAGGAGCAGCGGTGTATGACAGTGGGGTGGGGCTGTGTGCAGCAATGGTTGCTTCTGGTGCGCTGTTGGCCCTCTTGGGGCAGAGAAGCAGGCGTGGATGTTGTTGCGCAGTGTGAGGTGCTTTCCAGTGCAGGCACGGTGCGATGCACAAGAGGTTGATGGAGAGCTCTGCTGCCATGCGCTGCACTTGCCGTGGTGCTGCCACTGCCATGCCGTTTCTTGGTCCAGTGCAGTGATGGTGCTGTGCCACATGGGTCCACATTTTGCTGGTTGGCCTGGAGTGTGTGCCACAGCTGTGGCATGCCCTTTGATTGCACTGTGCAGTCCCAACAGCAGTCTAAGCGCCATTCTGTTTCCTATGATTTGTGGTAGCACTAGGCACCAGTATCTTATGGCTTGCTTGCTGTGCTGCCTGCTCTTCTTTTTGTGGCAGGCACCGCTCATAGATAGATGCTTGATTCTCCTGGATTGCATTCGTTATCATCCTGTCCTGCGATTGTTCTTTGGTTTAAGAGTTGTAACAAGTAGCTAGCAGTGAGAAGAGCAGTGCAGAAAGGTAGCAATACATGTATAGGTACATGATGGACCACATGAGATTTCTGAAGATGCAGAGACTGATATGCTGTGTAAGTAGTACCGCTTGTGTGTGTGGTTCTGAAGGGAGTCAGCAGGGGGATTGAAGACCTCGAAAGGAGCGGTGAGGAGAGGGGAGCTATCACAGTCTGAACCAGTGCCACTTGCTCATGACGCTTACGCTGTCTTGTAATCTGCCCAGCACATGCATGCCCAACACTCCCTCTTCCCTCGCCCCCTCCCCACCCATACGGCACTGCGGGCAGGCAGGGCGCAGGGGTCGGTGGAGAGTGGTGGTGAGCGGTAACACAAGACTCAGAGCCCATCCATGGGTTGGAACTGACGAGCATTGGCACGCACCCACCAGCCCACAACAATGGACACAAACACCGCTGCCAGCGCCAGCAGCAGCGACAGCCCACTCAGTGCCGCTGCTGCTGTGCTGCTCACACCACCCTGCTCCGCCTGCGCTGCCTGCCACCCCACTGAGGGCGCGGGGGCAGGCAGCAGTTCAAGATGCAGCCAGTCACACGAGGCAAGGAAGTGCTGCGAGCCGTGCCAAGGGGCGCCGTCTAAGGGGTACCATACTGCTGCTCCCATTCGGTGTGTTCCCCCCACCCTCAGCTGCACGTCCTGTGGTGTGGAGAGAAGGGAACGGATGGTGGGAATCGAGGGGGTTGGTGGAGGGTGTGGTGGGAGTGAAGACGGGAAGAGGGGTTGGGTGAATAGAGGGATGGGTGTTGGTAGTGGGGGTGGGCGAGTGGGAGTGTGTTGGGCGAGGGGAGAAGCGGAGGCGTGGATTGCAGTGTGCCAGTGATGGAGGTGTGATGACGCGATGGAGGTGCACACACATGCACAGCACATGATCCCGCCAAGCCTGCACACTCGCCCACATCTACCCACCCTGCTAGCTCGCACCCATCCCACCCACCCATCCACCCACCCGTGCCACCCACGTGTGGCCCGGTGTGTGCACCTGTTGGAAGTGGTCGGCAGTGCGCAGTGGGCGAGTGAGCTCAAACACAAAGTACCCATCGTCGCCCGCCGTCGCAAACGGGCTGTCCGCCGCTGTCAGCCCTGCCGTGCACCGTGCGCCAAGAGGACACACATACAGCAGCAAGGAGTGGCGGAGAGGGTTCAGGGCAGGTGGAGGACAGTGATAGTTTGGACAAGAGGGGAGCAGAGGGAGACAGACGAGTGCAGGCAAGAAGAGATGGCTGGAAAATAGAAGTCTTGTGTGCAGGTCATGACATGGTGCAGGGCAGTGGATGGCCATGCATAGCTTGACTTGAGGTGCCATGCTGCATGCCACAGCCCACAGCCAAACGCCCAGATCCCAATAGATCCCAATAGATCCCAATAGATCCCAGAGCAAGGAGGCGAGAGCGGGCAGGAGGCGCACCGTAGTCCATCTTGACGGTGGAGTGCGTCCACACACCGTGCCAGTCGTTCATGGCCGTGCCGTTGGACGACAGCCCTGGAGGGAGAGGGGGAGGGAGGGAGGGGGGGAGGGAGGGAGGGAGGGAGGGGGGGGGGGGAGACACATGCAGCACGCACAGTGCAGAGTAAAGTTTGATGTTAAGGCGTGGACACAGGTGATTAGGTGGGCATGCGATGCGGTGGGGACATAAGCCGTGTGGGGTGATCAGTGGGCATGCAGTGAGGGGGGAGGGAGGGGGCAACAGAGAGAGTGTGACAAGCAGAAAATGAGGAGAAGCAGGAGCAGGTGGCGAATGCGGGAGGGGGGCCAGCAGGGGGGTGAGTGAAGCACAAGAGAGGGTGGTTGGCGAGGGAGAAGGCACAGCAGAGGGGCGCACACGCACCTGCAGTGGCAAGGCCATCGAACTGGCGGCAGTGTGGGTTCCACGCGTACCCGTCATACAGATTGCCCACCCTGCACTCATGCACGGAGGGGGGGAGAGGGAAGGGGTCATGGACGGCAGGTGTGGAGAAGCAGCAGTGAGAGCAAGAACCTGGGGAAGGGGGGGAAGCACGAGTCAGAGGGGAAGAGATGGTGCGGGCGCAAGGCAGAGTGATGTGGGATGATGCAAGAGAGATGGACAACACCTGCCTGCACCTGCTGTGCCTGCGTGCGGCACGCGCAGCACGGCTGCACTGCATCGCTTGCATCAGCTTTGCTACCTTGTCGCACCATCCCTGCATGTCATGCTTGCCCTGACCCGGCGCACTCCCACTGCACAACACCCACACATGCCACGCTGCACCCTTCCCAAGATCGCGTTGTGCCTGACCTGACAGCCTAGTGCACTCACAACAGGCAGGCAGCGCACCATTGGCCACTCCGCCACGGGCACACACCTATCAGCGCCAGTGCCGTCCATCTGGTCCATGAGGTTGTGGCCGTACGTGCGCCCAGGGATGGCCGTGTCCACCTCATTCCCCCGGCAGTTGTCCGCCGTGCACGCCCCAAGAGGCCATGCGGAAGCAAAGCACCATGGAATGGAAAGCCCCACGCACCTATCAGCGCCAGTGCCATCCATCTGGTCCATGAGGTTGTGGCCGTACGTGCGCCCAGGGATGGCCGTGTCCACCTCGAAGTGCACTATGTCCACCTCGTGCCCGCGACAGTTGTCCGCCGTGCACGCCCCCGCCAGGTTCGCACAACCGCCCATCTGGTAGCATGGCATGCAAGACCGATGCGAACCCACGCACGCCCATGCAAGCACCGGGAAGGTGGGAGGGGAACGGGGGGGGAGGGGTCGAACACAGGGACGGAGTATGAGGAATGGTGAGTGCAGTGTGGAGTTTGGTGCATGCCTGGCAGTGGAGGGGGCATGAGAAGGGATGCTGGTGCACAAAAAGAGGGGGCAGCGGTGGGGGAAAGCGACGAGTGTGTCAAGAGATGTGAGGCCGCACCCACACGAGCACGCAGGGCCTTTGAATCATCTGAGCAGTGGTCTGCGTGTGTGTAGTTGAAGGGATCAGGACTTCTTTTGGATACCTATCATAAGGTGATGCGTTGTGTTACTGACATTGTAATAGGTGGCATCATCCCCAATGCCAAACATGAGCGATCCTGATATGGACAGGTGGTGGTTCCTGCTCACAACACACACACATGCACACACGCATGCATGCACACACGTGCATGCACACACACACACACGCACACACACGCACACACACACACGCACACACACACACACGCACACACTCACACACACACACACACACAAACACAAACACACACAAGCACACACACATGCATGCAACCACACGCACACGCACGCGCTCTCGCGCGCGGACACACACACAGTGGGCGAAGAATAAGTAAGCACGAGGCAGGAGCATGGGAATGAGCACAAGGTAGAAGGGCGAGCATGGACGCAAAGAGCGAGAGAGTATGAAGAATGGGTCGAGGGAGCTGCATGCCATGGCGCAGGAGCAGGCAGCGTGGGCACAACCATGCTAAGCGTGCTAAAAACACACGTGCACGGCAATCCGAGCAAGCCAAGAGGTGGGGGTGAGAAGGCGTGCAGGCAGCAGGAGTACGCACTGGTTGTTGTACACGTAGGGGCCGGGGATCTTGAGCAGGAAGAACACGTCCCGCCCGTCATGCGCTGCCTGTAGCGCAGGGAGGGAGAGTGTGCAAGGAGGTCACCACGTGTGTGCGGATTAGCAGACGGCGGCAGAGTGCATAAAGGGGATGAGATCCGAACGGTCAGTTGGCATTGGGAAAAGAAGCGCACAAGGGAGGCAAAACAAGCAGACTTTCACTTGAGCGCCGTAACTCAACTCAACCCCGAGCGTTGTACCCCGAGCGCTGTACCTTGATTTGCATGGAGCCAGAGCCGAAGGGGTAGGGAGCGGCGGCCTTGGGGTTGATGGCGGGCTGCAGGCGCAGGTCCAGCCCGCCCACTGCCACCCAGTCGCTCGTGACGCCGTCCACCGTGATGGTCCCCGGCACGTACGGCGCCAGCAGCCGCACGGGGTTGTCCGTCGCCTCGCACGGCGCTGCCACGAGGACCAAGCACGCAGGGGGAAGAGGGAGAGAGGGGGGGGAGGGGGGGGGGGGGTTGTGAGGGGGAGTGGGAGGCTGTGGGTGCAAAGGACAGTAGGCCGCTGCGGCGTTGATATACGACGGCTCATAAGGTTAGGAGGTGACAGGGATGACGTGAAGCATGCAGCTTGGTATCGCGAAGGCACGCGAGCAGTGCGCAGCAGCGCAGGGGAGAGGAGCACAAGGAGCGGAAATGACGATGCTTTTGGCGGGGTCACGGCGGGAATCCAGCGACGGATCCTCTCGTCGAATCAGCCGAGGCCGCATCGCGCCGATCGATTGCGACCTGCGACGGGAGAGGCCTTATGACGCGAACGATCCGGACAAGCGGCAGAGCGGGGGGTGCGAGTGGCGGACGTACGTGATTCCGAGTCGTCGTGGCCTTCGTGCGCTCTTGCTGTTGGCGCGAGGAAAAGGACGAGAAGCAGCAGCACGACAAGCGTGGCAGTACGGCGCGTGCCGTGGGCCAAGACTACGCCACGCAGGTCCATCGGTGCGACTCGGTGCAACCGCACTTGTAAAGCGGATGCGAGAAGCTGGATAATGGCGAAAGCGAGACAGACCGAGAGGTGGGCGGAGAGTGTTGAAAGCCGAATGCAGGTGTTAGAGTAGTAACTCAGGAAGGAACGCTAGAGGTAAGTACTGGATGCGAAACGGGCGAGGAGAGAGCGAGACGGCTTTCAGTCGTCTGGGACTTCACTCCAGTCCACGCGTCCTGCCACCCATGCAAGGGCCAGCCAAGCATGGCCCTGCTCGCCTCGATGTTGGCGGCAAGGGGGGAAATGGAATCGAGGACGAAACCGATTGGCTGACGCCAGCAGCCGCATGAACGCCCACCTGCATTGGGAGAACCTGCACCAAGTGGACAATTGCCGAGAGAAACTTTACTGAACCTCAGTAGTGGCAGCCTCGATATTATCACGAACAACACTCAAACCTAAACAGACGCTCATCTGTAGCTAGTGCTTTATGAAGGTTCTTTATATGCCAACAAAACATAAATGGTCAGTAACAAGAGTCTGGTTCACGTATAATACAACCATTTTTTGCTAACGTCTACTGGTAATACTTGTGCGGATGTGTGTCCCACGTACACAGTACCATTCGCATATTTTCCCTTTGGTATTCATTATGGGTTCCTTTATTTTGGCGCAAGTGCATGTAATTTTGGAATTAAAATAAGCTCATCCCATAGTCTCCGAGTGCAAGCTTGTAATTATGGAATTACTGTTGGGCTGAGAAAATCCCTTAGGATCTTTGCAGGACTAAACTCTGAGTAGGAACAATGCAATAGCGGAAGTGTTTAATGAGAAGTTTGTGAACCACCTTGCACTGGTATGTGAGGGCAAAGTAGATTAATTAAAACAAAGAGATACAAGCTTTTATAAGAGTACAAGGGAATGTGAAGGGTTATAACTAATAACTGTTTTGCTGTTGCTGTTGCGGTTCGATACAGTGACGACTCGGGCAACTGCTCAATAGATGGTCAGATGTTTGTCCTTACTGTCGCACTGTACTTGTCAGGTCAAAGGTCACTGACCTTTGACTTTCGCGTAACCTCCAGCAGTTGTTCAACCTCCGAGGGTTGACTCGCCAATGCTTCGATATGTTTCGCTTCGCTTCTGACTAGGTGTTTCGACACGACATGTGAAAGAACGAGGAATGAATGAACTAGCAAGCAGGTGGGTACAAGTAGGAAAACCTAAAAGTGTTGTACCCCATATTGTCTACCCCACTACAGCCTACACAGACTATAGCATATGAGTTTGACACACCCCCATAGGCAAAGTGTTAAAATAGTAACTTAGTGGAGAGCTAGGGCTTAGGCTTAGAAGCCTAGGCCAAGGTGATATCGAGGAGGTTGTGCCAAGGTAGAGTAGAGAGAATGGAGTGTTTCACTATGGAAAGAGAGGAACATATAGCAAACAAGAACATGCAAAGCAAAGAGGTGCACCACCACCAAACATGAGACAATAACTACACTACAGCTGCAAACGATTATATAAAATATGTAAACATATTTTGACACGCCCCATAATTGTTTGCATAAGTGTAAAACGCCCCCTGAAGGGGTACACCAGAGTGTAGCAGAAGTAGTAGAGGGCAATTTGAGGAGGAGGCGACTGGTGCTGCTACTAGACTCAAACCACCCCGTCAACCCCCCCTCTCCCACCCCAAAGCAGCAGCAGCGGCACTGAGGAGAGAGAGGAGGCGCCGTGGCCGCAGTTGCTGCAGTTGGGTCACGCCCTCAACCACCCCCCTCCCCCCCAACTGCTCCACGCGCAGCAGGGAGAGGGAGGAGGCTGGCGGTGTAGTTGCAGCCTCCCCTTCACACCCTCCGCCCCCTCACCACCCCCCTTCCCCTCAAACGGCTGCACGCGCAGCAGTGAGAGGGAGGAGAAAAAGGGGGGCAGCGTAGGGGCTGCTTCGCAGCTACAGATGCGCGTACGGTGGGGAGAAGTTGCGCGCACTGCAGTCACCACGCACCGCAGACGCCGCGTACCGCAGCAGGGCGCGCGGGGCGCGCAGGGCAGCAGGGCGCGCGGGGCGGGTGGCTGGTAGAAACCGCCGCGCGCCCGGGGCGCGCGACGGGCAGAAACCGACGCCCGCCCGGGTCGCGCTTCGGGCAGGAACCGACGCGCAGCCGGGGCGCGCATCAGGCAGGAACCGACGCGCGCCCGGGGTGCGCATCGGGCAGGAATCGACGCGTGCCCAGGGCACGCATCGGGCAGGAAAATCAGAGAGAACGCGGTGGGCCCATGGGGTATTTAATAAACAACACGGCAGGATCGAACCATGCTCTGTACCATGTTAAAATAGTAACTTAGTGGAGAGCTAGGGCTTAGGCTTAGAAGCCTAGGCCAAGGTGATATCGAGGAGGTTGTGCCAAGGTAGAGTAGAGAGAATGGAGTGTTTGACTATGGAAAGAGAGGAACATATAGCAAACAAGAACATGCAAAGCAAAGAGGTGCACCACCACCAAACATGAGACAATAACTACACTACAGCTGCAAACGATTATATAAAATATGTAAACATATTTTGACACAAAGTGGGGGAGAACAAGAGGTCACAAGACCAGTCAAGCAAAACAAAACAAGCTCAGGGTGGATCACAACGTCACCACACATTCCGAGCACAAGTTCAAAGCCAGAAGGCCAGTTCACATGCAAGATCATATATAAAGGTAGACAAGCAAGTGCAGGTATAGAAAGATCACAGTACAAGCAAGGTCAAGAAGTGAGCAAGTGAGGCCAAGTAGGCACAAGACCTAGCATCGTACAGAAGCGCTGATGATCACAAGGCGGAAGTGCCTTGGTAAAGATATCAGCAGTGTTGGCCTCAGAGGCCACGTAAGCAAGGCGCAGCTGACCACGCTGCTGCAGCTCACGAGCAAGGAAGTAGCGAAGAGCAATGTGCTTCGTTCTGTGCTCCAGTCTATGCTCCCGATACAAGGCCAGCATGGCCTTGTTGTCTACGTACAGAACTGGAGGAGAACGAGGCGCCTCTCCTAGGTCAGTCAGCAGGTAGGTGAGCCAGCGTAACTCCTGTGCAGCCATGGCCCCCGCGTAGATCTCGGCCTCACAGTTGGAGCCGAGAACAGAAGACGAGCGGGTAGACCGCCACGAAACAGAGCCGGAACCAAGGCTGAAGGTGTAACCATGTGACGATCGCTGCGTAGCCTGGTCGTCAGCCCAAGAAGCGTCTGCGTGACCTGTGAGGACCAATAGACGTCGCCCTCCAAGTACTAGCCCCATGCCCGACGTACTGCACAAGTAGCGCAACACCCTCTTCGCTGCAGCCATGTGCTCTGGTCGGTGTCTCCCAGGAGCAACATAGCGTGCCAAGATGCTAAGAGGGTATGCAAGGTCAGGTCGTGTGCAGGTCATCAGGTACATGAGGCAGCCAACAAGCTCTGGGTACGGGCCACTCGGCTCTACAGACTCATACGAAGGCACAGCTGAGAGCGAGTGGCGAGTAGACAATGGAGTGGCCTGAGGCGAGGAGTACGTGAAGTCGAAGCGCTGATGGACCTGCTGCACCATGTGTGACTGAGTCAGGGTAATGGTGCGCTGTGCTCTGTCCCGGGTGATCTGCAAGCCAAGGTAGCTACGCAGTTCACCCAGGTCTGTGCACGTGTGTCTCTTCTGCAGCTCGGACTTCACGTGGGCGAGTCCAGCAGTGTCAGTAGTGGCAAAGACCAAGTCGTTGACGTACACGAGGATGTAGAACGGCGGCAAAGAGGTGTCGGTGCGCAGAAACAGCGACGGGTCGGCAGTAGAAGGAGCAAACCCAAGAGCCGCAAGTGTAGTCTTCAGTGTGTCGTGCCACTCACGGGGCACCTGGCGGAGACCGTAGACTGGCCGCCAGAGGCTCCACTGGGTGCCAGGAGGAAACAACGCAGTGAAGCCAGGTGGGCGGCGCAGCCAGATCTCCTTGTGCAGGCTGCCCTGCAGGAAAGCTGTGCTGAAGTCAAGAGAGTGAAGCTCGTAGTCGCGCTGAGCGGCTATGTGCAGCAGCACCCGAAGAGTGGTCATCTTCGAGGTGGGAGAGAAGGTCTGAAAGTAGTCAACTCCCTGCCACTGACTGAAGCCTTGAGCCACGTAACGCGCCTTGAAGACAGGCGGAGAACCCGGCGGCCGCTTCACCCTGAAAATCCACATGCCACTGACGATGTTCGCCCCAGGTGGGGGAACCTCGTCGACGTAGGTGCCTGTGGACTTCCTGGAAGCCATCTCTGCGTCCATGGCCGACTGCCACTGTGAGGAGTAGGGACCCTCGATCGCCTCAGCGTACGATCGAGGAGTCGGGATGTCTGGTGCATCCGGGTCTCCCTCAGGGGCAATCAGCGTGGACACGAGATGGGGCAAAGCAGCAGCAAAGCGCTGGAACTCCTCCTCCCTGTCCTCAACGACGTCCGTGCTAAGAGCACACTCACCCCCAATGGACGGAGGACAGACAGACTCAGACCCCGCAACTAGACTAGGAGCGTAGTCTAGACGACAGCGAGCAACGAAGTCGACAAGCTCAGCAACTAGGGCAGACGCAGCAGTGGACTCAAAGGAAGGGTCAGTGACAACACTAGCCAGGAGACGCGTGACAGTAGGACTGGCAGCACGAAGAGAGTCAGACTCCGGGTCAGCAAGAACAGGAAGAGAGGACTCTGGAGGAGACGGCAACGGGACACGCAGAGGAGCAGTGGAAGGACGCAATGCCATCTGGTGTGTGCCTGGGACCGCAGGAGGACACGGACGCGGAGCACGAATACTAGTGCGAGCAGCATGAACAGGCAACGCAGGACGAGACGCAAGCTCACGACGCTCAGCAAGACCTCCTGTAGGACCAGTGTAGGGAGAAGGAGCAGGCAGGGGGGAGGCGGGCTGTAACTGTGACCGCAACTGGACAGGCTGTGGACACTCTAAGGGAGAAGCAGGACCAGTAGAGGGCGGGAGACCAAGAACCTGCTCAAGGAGCGGAACGAAGTACGGCC